TGTCCCAGTAGGAGCCAGAGTTCACCAGTAGCCTTGGCAAGGGCTGTGATAAACTCTTGATGAATTGTCCACACCAGTAGGGATTTCATGCCAACTGCTAGGAAAACATTTATTTCTTGTGGCCTGGTTACAGCACTCTTGTAGTATTCCAGATCTTTCAAAGAATATGAGGTTACTTTTTATGGTGCTATTAATACATTTATTATGGCCTTTTCTTCTCATGCAGCAGCACCAAGGCTCTGCAATGCCACCCTTGATCCAGGGGTTGGCTGTGCCCACTTGAACCACGTTTGTTTGTTCAAGATTCCGTGAGCTCTATCACATCTGCATCTCTTGACCAAAGTTGATGCTCAGGGAAGCCCTTGATGTTCTGGAATCTGGGGAGTGGTGACTAAGAGGATTTTCCATGATTTTCCATGATTTTCCATCACAGGGTGTTTCCTCTGGGCTCTACTTCGACCCTGGTGTTCTGCTCCCCCCACCCCCCTTGAAAGGGGCTGTGCCTCTCTACAACCCATCCCAGGTCCCCCAGGTAAGGAGGCCCTGAGGGAGAGGGGTTAGGAGCACGGGTTCTGGATTAAGGAGACCCAGGTTTATAACTTACTTATAACAAATTACTGTGCCTGAGTTCTTGAGCAATGACTAACCTCTCTAAGTCTCAGTTTCTGCATCTGTAAAATGGGGTTAGTAGTAGCTACCTCAGCGGGTAGTTGTGAGGATTAAACTGGAGCATGTATGTGAAGGGCCTGGCACTCAGAAAATGCTCAGTCAATGTCACTATTATTAATATTGCACTTGACCTTTTGTAAGTCTTGAGACTCAGGAGAGGCAATTGGTGTTGGTGTCAACGGTGTGGTTGCACCAGGGCTGTGCCCTGGGGGCGAGAGGATCATTGCAAAGTTTGATTGAAGCTAAACTCCCTGCTTCTGCATGATCTGGGGCAGACTGCTTGTTCTGATGCATTACTGGCCTCCCTTCTATATAAAATTGAATTTCTTTCTCCTTATTTAAGAGGTGAAGGTGTTGGGTGAAAGCAAATAATGAGAACACCACCATGGGAAGCCAAATACAGCAGAAGGGTTTCTAGACCCTCAGGATGCCCAAGCTCAATCCAGCCAGTCAGCGCTGGCTGGAGTCATGCTTGGGGCTATAATCTAGTGCCATGCTTTTTCTTTTTCCAGCTCTCCATGGCTACCAGCCTGAACCGGCCAAATCGCCTAGCTCAGCGCCGCTATCCAACCCAGCTGTGACGAGAAGGACCACCCATCCCAGGCTGGTCTCCCTGAAGTACAACTTTTATGTTGTTCTCGTTTCTTAATCTCCCAGCCCCTCTGCCACATCAGGGCCCCCAAGAGGGTCTCCCAGGACATAGCTCAGTTCAGTCTCTTAAGATTAGCTTCAGAATGATGGTACAGATAGCTGCATCAGATGGAAAAGCTGGGCATAACAGCAGACTGAAGGTGAGCAGAATGCTGTGGCAGCAGCACTTAGAATGTGGCTTGAGACCCTCAGGAAATTCAGGGCCTAAGAATCCCACTGCTGGAATCGGTGATGACACCACTGGGCTCAGCAGCAGGAAATTACTGGGGGAGAGGCACTCAGGGCAATATTCTAGACTAACTTTGACATCTTCCTCAGCCTTAGTTACAGACCAATTCATGGCTCTAGTTAGCAAAAGAGTTTTGAATCTCGGAAACTTATCATTGTTTCCCGTCATCATTCCCTCTTGGGTGACATTTTGGCAGTTTCCCTCTTGGTTTTAGTTTTGTGCACATTTTTTATGCGGTTCAGATTAATTATATTTCTCTCACTTTCTTAGCTGGTCCTATTTTTCCACATTCTGGCATCTGGCTATCAAGTTAGATTGCTGTAGGCATCATATTGTCATGGTAACTACTGAACCTAATGATGCAGATGGATGGAACATCAGTGTAATAAAGGATGGAAAATGTTCCCTAAAAATTCACTCCTTCCATAAGAGAGGAGGAATGAGTGCCCGAGTTTGTTAATACCTCCCTTCCTCCCTTGGGCCTTTGCAAATTGATGTTCGGAGGGTCAGAGGAGCCAGAGGGAGGAGGGGGACATCTTGGAAATTTCCATTTCTCCTTTCAAACCCCCAATAGGAGTAACTCTTGCTGTTTGTCAGATTTGCTGAAAATTGTTCCTCACAAAGAACATTCTTTGTATGTGTAGTTGTACATACAGGTTTTGTACTTTAACGTAATATGGTTCTGATGTTGATAGCGATTAAACCAGATAATTTTATAGCAGATGCTTGTCTCCGGCTGGTTTTTGCAGAGGGAGAGAGCACACTGAGTGGTCTCTTCCCTGAAGTCTTCCTAATAATGGTTTCATTGTGTGATAGGTGCGAACAGCTGGTAAAAGCCCTTTGTTAATGAAGAATCTAGGGAATGATCCTCTTAACTTCTAAGTCTACCGCTATTTTTTCAGTTAAAAAAATATGGACAAAAGCTCCTCTGATGCGAATTGGTTACTCTGTTAACTAAATATTGCATATTCTGTTCTCTAAAAAGTTTATTCATCTCTCAGATTAAATTGGGAAATGTGTGCACCAGTGTTTTGCATCTAGAAGGCCCTCAGTAAGTGCTGTTCCCTTTTTCCCTAAAAAAGACTGCAGCCCCTTCAGTTTGGTATGCTGACACCCAGTGGCGGTACCATGTCAGTAGTTTGTGAGTTTCATAGGCACCAAATTGTTTAGACTTGAATCCTGGCTCATCCACAGTTCATCTTGTAGTCTTGGACAGGGTTATCTAACTGTCCTGTGCTTCAGTTCCCTCATCTATAAAATGAGGATGATAATTACAATAGTACCTACCATATAGGGACAGTGCAAGAATTAAAGGAGTCAAGCTCTTAAAAAAGTACCTAGTACATGCTAAGCATTTTATGTGTGTGTTTAAAAAAAATTATTAGTATATAATCTAATAAGTAAAATTGCCTTATCTTGTTGCCTATGATATTAAACTGTGGATTTTTCATTCTTTTTTTTAAAATTATATTTTTGAAGTATAGTTGATTAATTCCTATTGTACAGCAAAGTGATTCAGTTATACATATATACATTCTTTTTTAATATTCTCTTCCATTATGGTTTATCACAGGCTATTCAATATAGTTCCCTGTGCTATACAGTAGGACCTTGTTGTTTATCCATTCTGTATATAGTAGTTTGCATCTGCTAATCCCAAACTCCCAACCCATACCTCCCCCACTCCCCCTCCCCCTTGGCAACCACAAGTCTGTTTTCTGTGTCTGTGAGTCTGTTTCTATTTCGTAAATAAGTTCATTTGCGTCATATTTTATATTCCACATATACGTGATATATGGTATTTGTCTTTCTCTTTCTGAATTATTTCACATAGTATGGTAACCTCTAGGTCCATCCATGTTGCTGCAAATGGCATTATTTCATTCTCTTTTATGGCTGAGTAGTATTCCATTGTATATATGTACCACATCTTCTTTATCCGTTCATCTGTTGATGGACGCTTCTGTCTTGACTATTGTAAATAGTGCTGCTCTGAATATTGGGGTGCATTTATCTTTTCAAATTATGATCTTCTCTGGATATATGCCCAGGAGTAGGATTGCAGGGATCACAACTCTACTTTTAGTTTTTTGAGGAACCTCCGTGCTGTTTTCCATAGTGGCTGTACCAATTTACATTCTTACCAACAGTGTAGGAGGGTTCCTTTTTCTCCACACCCTCTCCAGCATTTGTTATTTGTAGACATTTTAATGTTGAGCATTCTGACCAGTGTGAGGTGGTACCTCATTGTAGTTTTGATTTGCATTTCTCTAACAATTAGCAATGTTGAGCATCTTTTCATGTGCCTGTTGGCCATCTGTATGAGATTTTTCTTTCTTGATACAGGTGTGTAATGGGAAGAATAATTTAAAATCACTTCTCAATAGGTGTTCTTATGACTAAGCCAGTTTCTCTCCCTGAATCCCACCTGCCACCAATGTTAGGTCATGTGGCTTAGTGCCCCCAGGAACAATGATATAGGGGAGGTCCTACCCCATAAAAAGAAGCACTTTAGAGGAGGAGAATGAGGACCAAAGAGGAAGGTAAAGACATCGGATGCCTGTGTCCTCACTTCTGCCTGCTGTTAGGATTATTCATGGAAAATGAGTGACTACAGTGTCAACAAAGCAGGTACTGAGGTTAGTTACTTCCCAGGCACAGGAAGTAATATGTGCAGCAGTGGACACATTTTATGAGGGGAAAAATCAGAGGGTTTTATGCACTAGAAAGGGAGGAAGGAGGCCATGGTACTTATGCTAATTCATGATTGGAAGCTTGTACTCTGGCAAAGTCAGAATGCAGCCATTAACGTGGAGCATGGTTGGTTAAAACAAGTCATGTCGTTCATTTCCTGAGGGCTCAGGAAAGAGCCCTCAGTTGGGCCTAGTAAGGGTATGATGAACTGGGGTCTCTCAGAGTTCTTAGTTGTTTATCAGCTTTTTTTAGTGGTCGTGATGGTGGTGAGTTTGCTAAAGGTCATGACTGTTTTAGAGCTTTAGGGGTTAAAACCAGTTGTGGTGAAACAAAGCAAATGCAGCTGTAAGAAGAAAATACTTTGTTCCTCCTTTACAAGGTGGAAGCTTGGGGAGTAGAACAGGTTGTGCTAGAAATATGCTGCTGGGAGCGGGGAGCCTGAGAACACTGGGGCCTTTCCTCATCTATAGCTCCCGAGAGGCTGCAAGCCTCTGCAGGCCAAGGAGAGTCTGGCTTTGGCTTGGGAGCCATAGCATCTTGGCCTTGGGTTTGACCATGGTCCGAGGCAGAGCCTCCAGCTCCCTGCAGTCTGGTGTATGTGGACTCTTGCAGGCAATGATTGCACAGTGTCCCAAAAGGCCACAAGGGACCAGTTGTCCCCTGCAGATGCCAGGTCAGCACCGGGCCAGACCAGCTACCTGCAAGGCGTAAGGCTGACCTTGTCAGCCATAGGCCTTCTTTCCCATCACCATAGGTCATTTTAGGGAGAGGAGATAAACAGAATTCTCTCTCTTTTAAAAAAGGAATTACCCAAAGACACTGTTTAAAAGGGAAGAAACTGGTATATTGTTAATTGGCAAGTTTGTTTTTGCCCGTACTCCTCAATGGGGTATGAGCTTGGAGGAAGAATAGTTATAGGAAATAAAGAAGCTACATTTTTCTTAAAAAACTGAGTGGTAATGTGCAAATTTGCGATCCTGCTATGTACATATAATTTAATATTTATATGGAAACATTTAAACCTAATGTTCAGTAATTTGGAAGAGAATAAACCGTTAAATTCCATGTAAGTGTCTTTATCACATATCACCATTCCTGCCTTCTGTCTAATCCCCTTATATGGCTATAAAACTGCAAACAAGCCTGCTTCCTCAGTCACCTATACATACTCCTCTTTCAGCCCTAACTCAAGCTTCAGGATCAAAGTCTCTGCTAGCTTTTTTCTTTACCCTAGAAATCTCCTTTCTCTTTGGTTTCTTCCTCTGAGCAACCAAGAAGGGCAGGAGACTGCATCCACCTCTTCACTAAAATCAGAATATTTTCTTCCCACAGGAAATATGCAAAGCACTCTTGCACATGAAAAGAATAATAGGTGTGTAATTTGGGTCTCTCCACTCACAGGGGTTTCTCTGACACTTCCCCCACCAAGAGAGTGGCTTGGAAGTGCCTTTTCCCCCTCTTGTTTTTGTCATCTTAAACTGGAAATTGCATATGGAATGGTCTGCACCTAATAGGGTATTAGGTACTTACCTGGGTTTGCCTCAAACACGGCCTTCAACACTGCCTGCTCTCATGAAGTACTTATACCAGGCACCATTCATTCAGATCCTTCAGAAATGGTTCCTTAATGAGATTTAAAGTTATTTTGAATGGGGATTTAGAGCATATTAAACTGTTTTCATTGCAATCTCACTAAGTAGAGGAATCTGCTTCCCATACTCTCTTCCTTTTTATATGTATCTCCAGGTAATGGTACTTTGCAGGAACTAGGTCAACAGCAGTGCAACTCAGACTTGACTGACCCATGCAAATGTTGTTATTTTAATGTGGGATGCTTTCCTGGTGTTTATCCAACTTAGAGCCAATTAAATATCCCATTTTTAAAGAATCTCAAGAGAGAAGGATTCCATGGATTCCCCTGAGGTTTCAGGCTGGGGTTTCACACTCTCACACATTATTAGGAAGCTATTCCTAGTACTTTCCACCCAAATCACTCAGGTGGCTCTT